GAGGGAGGGAAGGACAATGTAACTAAAAGACTAAACTAGGAAGATGGCAGGAAATAGGCCCAATCACACAGGGATTTGTAGGACATGTTAGGCAGGAGTCTGAACTTTACTCATGAAGCAATACAAATTATTTAAAAAGGTCTTCACTCCTTTAAAAGAGCACTTCAGCTGTTCTGTAGAGAATAGCTACTCTGGCAAGAGTTTATGGAGAAAACTGGTAGGAAGAAGCTAGACGGGTAGGTAGAAGTCTCATGAGGGGGTCCTTGAAGGACCCAAAATGAATTAAGACCTTTCTTCTTAATCCTGAAGGCAGCTCATTCTAACTTTCTCCTAAGTGTGTCCCCTAAGCACTAGTTTAAACAGTGTTCCACTCTTCCATTCCAAGTCTAGTTTCTAACTACATTGCTGCTTCTCTCATTTTGCCTCAAGTCTTTCCCATGAGCAGAGTTGATGATACAGCTGTGCAGGAACAGGCAGACTGTGAGCGCTTTTTTCTTATCTGAGGTTTGCTCCTCAGTACTAAGATTGAATGACTGTCATTTCATTTTCTTTGAATGTCAAGAGATTTCATAAACTTAGTGGCAGATGTCCAGAAGCAAACAAGAAGGAAAATATTCCTAGTTCCATACACTGTTGTAAGCTATTTCCAGGAAAATTAATTACAGTAATAGTCCAATAGAACTAACAGAGACTTCTTTTTTCCTCTCTTACTCTAAAACAAAGCAAAATAAAACGGAGCATAATCAAGCCTATACTTTTCAGAATTACAGTGGTTAAGGATTACAGTTGCTAGAAAACAACATGCAAATGATACTATTAAGCAAACTATCCAAGATCAATGAGATGATCCCATATTTAGGATTTTTAAATCCTTTTTTTTCTCCTGCATTCCTTTGGTGAACAAATATATTCTGTCCCTTGTGATTTACCTTAGAGATTCTTGTTCTCATAAAGATTTTTCTAAAATATTTCCCTGCTTGTTTCTTTTTCTGTTTGTGTGTGTGTGTGTGTGTGTGTGTGTGTGTGTATGTGTATGTGTGTGTTCTTGAGAGAGAGAGGGAGAGAGAGAGAGAGGGAGAGCTAGCAAGTGAGTGAGAGAGAGAGAGAGAGAGAGGGGCGGGGGATACTCTACCATTTGCAGCCCTTTAATTGCTTTCAGTTATTTTTCAGATGGTTTCTGGTGGGTTTTGCCTACAGTCAACCTCAGACAATGAGCCTCTTACCTACAACTCCTATGTAGCTGGGCTTAGAAGTGTGTGCTACCTTATGTGGCTTTTTGTTGAGATAAAATCTTGCTAACTTTTTGTCAAGGCCAGCCTTTTGATCTCTATTTCCTAAGTAGCTAGGATAACAGGTATCTGCCACCACACCAAGCTCCTATGTATTTCTTTTTAACCTTTGGTTTTCCAGTGCTCCTAGAATTAATTCAGGGGAAGTTGTTTGCCATGTAAAGCCTTGATCAGAACTGTAAAATATCATTTGTCTTTTGGTTGAACATGTACAAATAGCAAGCCACTATTCTGTTACTGTGACAATCTGCCAGGAATAAGGTAGGGGTAGAATCGTGCCCTAATGGCTATACCACCTAGATGCATTTTAAAGACTTACACATAAGGTCCACTTCAAATGCATAGCTAAACAGGTCCATTGAGTGCTCTCCAGGACCATGGGCACACACACACAAACACACACACACACACACACACACACACACACACACATTTATATTATACTTAATATTTTTTTAATTTTTTATTGTAAAGATACTATACAGAGGGTTACAGTTACATGAGCAAGGTAATGAGTACACTTCCTATTGAGCATTGTTACCCCCTCCATTGAATTTTTTTTTAATATTTTTTTTCTTTCTTTTTTTTGTCAGTCCTGGGGCCTGAACTCTGGGCCTGGGCACTGTCCCTTAGCTCTTCAGCTCAAGGCTCGCGCTCTACCACTTGAGCTACAGCACTACTTCTGGCTTTTTCTGCTTATGTGGTGCTGAGGAATTGAACCCAGGGCCTCATGCATGCAAGGCAAGCGCTCTACCACTGATCCCCACTGTTTTGAAATGAATGTTGTGGCTCCTTCAAACTTATATGTTGGATCCCCAGTCCCTCAATATGATAGTATTTGAAGACAAGGCCTTTGAAAAATAGTTATATGAGGTCAGGAAGGGCTCTCATCATAGCATTATGATTTGATAAGACACACCAGAGAGCTTGCCCGCCACCAGCAAGCCAGGAAGAGGGCCTTCAACAGGAGCTAAGTCACCCAGCCTCCAAAACTGTGAGAAATAAATACTGTTTAAGCTACCTAGTTTACGATACTTTGTTATAGAAGCCCAGGCTAAGACCCTAATCTGGTCCCTGATTTTCCCCCTGCTGGGTAGCCAGTCATACCCACATGAATGAAGAATATACAGACAACAAGCAATTATGTGTTAAATGAGTAAAGGAGACAATAAATACTAAGAAAGTTCAAAGGAGGTGAAAAGCCTAAAGCAAGGAGCAATTTTGGGGAAGATTAAAGAATCATCTAACTCTAAGGCTAATGAGTATTTTATCTTGGAAAATATGGATTACAACCAGTAATGAGTTATATCAATGTACTGAACTACTGCATCTTAAAAATAAAAATAAATTGCAAAACAAAATTACAGAATGTATTGCTCATAGAGTAATACATACCCTGCCAGTCCAGGTATTTGATTTCAGGTCCTTGTGCTTGCTCAGTTGGTGATCTATCACTTGAGCCATGCCTGCAACACTGCTCTTAACTGGTTATTTTGGAAAGTCTCACAGCTTTTCTTCCCAAGCTAATTTCAAATTATGACCCTCTAAATTGTAGCCTCCTTAGCAGCTAGGATTACAGGTATGACAGCTAGATTGACAGGTAGATTTATTTTTTTGTGTGTCTGTTGGTCCTAGGGCTCGAACTTGAGGGCTTGGACACTGTCCTTGAGCTTTTTTGTTCAAGGTTAGTGCTTTATTGCTTAATCCACATCTCTACTTCTGGCTTTTTGCTGATTAATTGGAGATAAAGTCTCACAGACTTTCCTGCCAAGCCTGGCTTTGAACCATGATCCTCAGATCTCAGTCTCTTGAGTAATTAAGATTACAGGTGTGAGCCATTGGCACCTGACAAGTGGTAGATTTCTTAATGTAGATCACAGTCAAACCAAAAGCCACTGATCTAGCTCAGTGCCCTCATCTCATTTTTTTGTTTTGTTTTGTTTTTTGGTCGGTTGTGGGGCTTAAATTCTGGGTTTGGGTGCTGTCCTTACGCTCTTCAGCTCAAGCCGAGTGTTCTACCACTTGAGCCACAGTGGCACTTCTGGTTTTCTAGTGGTTTATTGGAGATAAGAGTCTCATGGACTTTCCTGCAGGGACTGGCCTTGAACTGTGATCCTCAGATCTCAGCTTCTTGAGTAGCTAGGATTACAGACATGAGCCACTGACACCCAGCGTCATCTTATATTTTTATTGTTAAAATTAATTTATCACATGAGTAATAGTTGGAAAGTGATTCTTTTTCAAATTAAACCTTTAGGGAAAAATGATAATTTCTATGAATAATACTTAGCTTTTTCAAAAGTAACAAACAGCCTGGTGGGTATCTCTCCAGAATTTTTGCTATGATTTTACATATATATATATATATATATATATATATATATATATATATATGCCTATACATGACCTGTAAAGAAATAACATGGTATTATTTAATGAATTTTTATATTTTTGTAGGGAGGTCAATCAAATTTCCAAACAGAATATTTGAATTAGAACACTTAAGTAACTGTTTATAAAGATACAGGTATGTATGGAATTTAAGAGATTAGTTGGGAATCAATTCAAGAGTTTTAAGTGGAGCAATAGAAAAATCAGAGTTAGAGACGTAAGGTATACTCTATTTTGTGGAGAATTTTGGAGGAGCAAAGAAGAGTAATCCAAGAAGAGAAGATGGGGGCGTCAAGTACAGCTGAGCAATGGAGGTAAACAGATGTGAGCTGTTGCAGGATTTATTTTGGAGATTGAATCAATAGTACTGAAAAATGGATTAGGTGGAAGTATAGTAGGCAGAAAGGAGCTAAAAAAAAGATAATGAAGTGTTCAAGAAGAGAAACAGGTAAGCCAAGAGGCCAAAAGGATCAGGGAGAGATAAAAAGCTTCAAGAAATTAGACCTGGTGCCAGTGGCTCATGCCTATAATCCTAGCTGCTCAGGAGGCCAAGATTAGAGCATCACAGTTCAAAGCCAACCAGGCAGAAAGTTTCTGAGACTCTTATCTCCAATTAACCACCAAAAATCTGGAAGTAGAGCTGTGGATCAAGTGGTAGAGCCCTAGCCTTGTTCAATAAAAGCTAAGGGACAGCACCTAGGCTCTGAGTTCAAATCCTAGAGCCCATATAAAAACAGGTTATAGAAATTATTTAAGATGTTTGCAGTAGGGCCTCCATAGACCTGTCCTTCAAAATCTTGTGTTGTGAGAGTTGCAGTGGTTACAGAATTTTCTTTCTATTGATAGGGTCTGGGCCATTTAGTGTGGGGGGGCATTTAGTGTGTGTGTGTGTGTGTGTGTGTGTGTGTGTGTGTGTGTGTGTGTGTGTGTGTGTGTGTGTGTTTGCCTATACCAGGCTTGAAAACTGAGGGCCTTCAGATCTACTCAGAACGTTAAACTTTTACGCAGCTTTCTTGCTCAAAGCTAGGACTTTACCACTTGAGCTAGGCATTCAATCCAGAAGTTTGCTGGTTAATTAGAGATTGTCTCACCAATTTTCTTCCCAAGCTGGCTTTGAACAGTGCTCCTCCAGGCCTCAGCCTTCTCTACTGCAGTGAGTAACCAACAACCAGCTGGGTCTAGGCTATTTCTGCCAATTCTGCATATTCAGTTTCACCAATATGTCAGCTTGCCATAAAACTTGAGTAGTCCAGAAGGATAGCCTGAATGGGAATATGGAGAAGGAATAGAGACTGGAAATCTAATGGCAAAATACTGAGTTTGAAAATACATTGCTGAGGATACATGTAGTAGCAGATAAAATACCAACCATATTTGAGCTTATTTGGAGATAATAATAGAACTAGAACATAAGATTCAGAAGTTCCACAGACTAAGCTGCCTAAGAATCAGACTCTAAGACTGAGATTAGCATGTAGAAGATGTATAAGGACATGCTCTTGGCATAGAGAGGGAAGAATAGAGCAGATGTCAATATTAAGTTGTGATGCAGTCTCAGTGAAGACTCAACGAATGTCTAAAGCCAACTTCCCACTTGTCCCAAGCTGGAGGGAAGAAGAGAAGAGCATTTACAGCTCCATGTTAATCAGCCATTAGATGTTGCTACCCTGAAAATGGATTAGGACCTTGAGGGCAGAAGCTCTTTTCAACCAGGCTGTTCCCATGGAAATGAAGGGCTGACATCTATCTATTGACAAAAGTTCTAACACCTAAGAAAACAAGTCCTTTATTCCTGAAAGGGAGGAACATCAGACCCAAGACTTGAGACATCATTTACTCTAAGAGTTGGAAGCTGAGATTCCAAGGAGATGGAATGCTTCACACATAGAATAAAGGGCTTCTGACCCCCACAATATCATACCATGGTACTACTTCAGGGTTTGAAGCAAGCTAGGCAAGAAAGATCTTGAAACTCTTATCTCCAATTAGCCACCAAAAAGCGGGAAGTGGAGCTATGACTCAGGTGGTACAGTGCTAGCCCTGGCAACAAAAAGCTAAGGAACAGTGCTCAGGCCCAGAAATCAAGTCCCAGACTGGTACAATATTAAAATTTCTCACAGCTAAGGCCTACAGATTAGGAGAAGATCCATACTAGCTACACATTTGACAAGGGCCTAATATCCAGAGTATACAAGAGCTCAAGAAACTAAAACCTCTGAAAATCAATAACCTAATTAATAAATGGACAATAAATACATGAGGAAATGCTCAGTATTCCTGGACCTAAAGGTAATGCAAATCAAAACAACATTAAGATTCCATCTCACTCCAGTAAGATTGGTCAGCATTGAGAATACAAACAATAACAAATGCTGGTGAGGATGTAAGGGAAAAATAAACATATTACATTGTTGGTGGGCATATAAACTAGTACAACCCCTCTGGAAGGCATTGTGGAGATTGCTCAAAAATATAAACAGAATTATCCTATAAGCCAGTGATACCACTTTAGGGCATCTATCCAGGGCATTATAAGTCAGGATATGATAAAGACAATTGCACAACCATGTTCATTGCCAATAGCCAAGTTATAGAAACAGTCCAGATGTTGTATAACAGATGAGTGCAGATCAAGAAAATGTGGTACATACATACAATGGAATTTTACTCATCCATCAGAAATAATAATATTATGTCATTTACAGGGAAATGGATAAACCTAGAAAAGTTTACATTAAGTGAAATAAGACTCAGAAAGACAAATAACACATATTTTCTCTCATATGTGGAAACTAGATCTAAAATATAAACATACACATGATAGCATATGCAGAGTTGTATGGATATACACAGACTAAAGGAAAGTACATTTAAGGGAGGAATCCAAAAGTGTAACTCTTTTGAACAACTGATAAAATGTTTAACAAAACTAGTACCAGAAGGAGGGCACTGGTGACTCATACCTGTAATCCTAACTACTCAAGAGGCTGATGAGATCTGAGGATTACAGTTCACAGCTCAGGCAGTAAAGTCCATGAGACTCTGTCCTCCAATTTACCACCAGAAAACTGGAATTGGCATGGCGGTTTGAAGTGGTAGGGTGCTAGCCTTGAGCAAAAAGAGCTCAGGGATATCACCCAGGCCCGAGTTCAAGCCCCAGGACCAACAAAAATAAATTAAAACTAAAAAAAACAGAATACTAGGAGCAGGAACATGTTTTTTGGGGGTGTGCAAAGAGGGGAGTGTATGAATGGAGAGAGGAAGGGGAAACAAATGTAGTTGTTGTATTCAATGTACATTACATAAATAATGAACTACATAACAAGAGTAGATATGGCAAGGGGAAAATAAGGGAATTGAAAAAAGAAGGATATTTTTTAAAGTTTTATATGGATTGGGATGGTGGTTTGGTGGAATTTTTTTTTTTTTTTCGGTCATGGGGCTTAAACTCTGGGCCTGGGCGCTGTCCCTCAGCTCTTCAGCTCAAGGCTAGCACTCTACCACTTGAGCTACCGCACCACTTCCAGTTTTCTGAGTGTTTATTGGAGATAAGAGTTTCACAGTCTTGGGCTGGGAAGGTGGCTCAGTGGTAGAGTGCTTGCCTTGCATGCTCGAGGCCCTGGGTTCCTCAGCACCACATAAGCAAAAAGAAAAAAACCGGAAGTGGTGCTGTGGCTCAAGTGGTAAAGCGCTAGCCTTGAGCTGAAGAGCTAAGGGACAGCGCCCAGGCCTAGAGATCAGGCCCCACGACCAGACCCCCCCCCAAAAAAAAGAGTTTCACAGTCTTTCCTGGCAGCATGGCTTTGAACCATGATCCTCAGATCTCAGCCTCCTGAGTAGCTAGGATTACAGGCGTGAGCCACTGGTGCCCAGCTTGATGGAATTTTTTAAAATTTTATTTCCTTGTAAAGATGTTTACAGAGAGGATATAGTTATATTTTTTAACTAAAGAAACTGTGGTTTTTTTAATCTTCAGTTTCTTTCTAATCCTTTGAGAGTTTTGAAAAATGGAATTGGGTTCTAGTTGCATAATTAGAACAATCTGTTCCACTTATCTGACTGTTCATCAAGTTTAAAATCTTGGTTGATATTGAGGTCAACATTAAGGAAAAAATTCTAACATATTGTCTTATGATTATCACTGTTGCATTGGTTCCTCCTTGGTCCTTTGTCTCACCATTTTGTTGTTCCCCTTCCCTTCCCTAATTAAGATAAACTTATATGCAATACAACTGGGGGAGGAGGGAGTGGGAGAAAAAATGAGGGAGGAATAACAAGTTTGAGAAGAAATGTATTCAGTGCCTTACTTATATGTAACTGTAAAATCTGTACATCACCTTGACAATAAAATTAAAATAATAAAAAACAAAAAGTCAATTTAAATAAAAAAGAAAAAAATCTAAGAGAAATTCCTCATCCTTACACTCAGCATCAAGTGCTGACTGCTGAGACAGTTTATAGGTCTTTAAGGACTTTGAACTCAGCCAGGCGCTGGTGGCTCACGCCTGTAATCCTAGCTACTCAGGAGGCTGAGATCTGAGGATTGCGGTTCAAAGCCAGCCCCGGCAGGAGAGACCGTGAGACTCTCATCTCCAATAAACCACCAGAAAACCGTAAGTGGCGCTGTAGCTCAAGTGGTAGAGCACTCGCGTTGAGCTGAAGAGCTGAGGGACAGCACCCAAGCCCAGAGTTCAAGCCCCACGACCGACAAAAAAAAAAAAAAAGGACTTTGAATTCCTGAGTGCAAAGTACGAGGGGTCAGAAATGGACTATTTGCCATGGCTATCAGGTCTCAAAATTTTGGCTAAAAAAAATGGTAATGAGTATTGGTGGCAAATTATAAAGACACAGCTGCTCTGAGACAATTTTCACTAGTAAAGAGTTCCACTGGTAGCTGTTATCCTTCATCTTCCTTACCACAAATCCAGCATGGAGGATGTAGAGAGAATTTAGAGGTCTGATTCTCCTGTCATGTAGTAAGATCACTCCCAGAAGAGCTTAGGACATTATAGAAGTCCACTTTCATTTACCAGATAAACATCAATTACCAAATATCATTTCCTTGGCAGTGAAAATGGTTTCATAAACATGAATGTCTTAGCTCTATAGTGACTAAGTATGTGACATTGGAAAAGTCACTGCACATCACCGACTCACTGGTAAAAGACAAGGGTTGAAATGATCCATTTCTGGTCTAATCTGTTCTGCTTTGTGTGAATTCAGTACCTAGGTATCTCCCAGAGAAGACCAGTTTCCTCCCTTGAAAGTTGATCATGTATGGTAAATCTGGCTGACACTTATTGAGCCTGGTATTAAGTCCTTCACACAGAGAGTATGATGAAATCTCCTGTATCATTGTTACTAGTTACAAACAGCAGAATCTATTCTAGCTAATTTAATTAAACAGTTGGGTGAGCAAATATTTGAGGTTTGGAGATTTTGTAGAGGAAAGCAGGCTTTGTCTCCACTTATAAGAGATTCCTATAGGAGATAGCAAATCTTGGAAGATGATTCAGAAGTTGACATAATCATTTGTGGATGAAATGAGTAACATCAATCCTGACTGCAGATGTCAAAGACCCAGCTTAGCAGAAGTATAGGTCCCTGTCACAATTATACAAGTCACTTACTCACAGTCCTGATGTTTCCCAGTCCGTGAGAGATGGAAATGTGGATCTGATGTTTTCCTCAGATGCAAGCTGGGAACAGATTCAGCACTTGAGGGTGAAAAGTGGCTGCCTTTCTCTTTGAGTGAGAAAGGCATGTCCATAAAGGGAACTCTGTCCAGGTTTAAGTAATCCAAGTTATAGAAACAGCCAAGACGGCAGAGACTCCGCTGAGCAGAACTCAAGGCTTCTGATATGCATACAGAACTTTGAAAATCCTGTGGGCCTGAGGGATAATTTTGAGGCTCTTTAGCACCCCCAGAAATGTTCTATCTAAAAGCAAAGGAACACTGAGTAAATAGCCTGGACCCCAATCAGTTATAGATCATTAACAAGTAAAAATAATAACTCCTGTGAGATAAGCCACTACTTGATGTGGATTGTCTCATTTCATGCTCACAAAATCCCTTTTTAGGCAGAACATATTAGCTTTGTTTAAGGTAAGCCATTTATTATCCCCATTTTGAGGATCAAACTAGGAATCAGATATGTCATTTAAATTGCTCAAGGCCACAAAGTAAGTGGCAGAATGGGATTTTGAACTTGGGGCATCTGACTAGAGAAGCCTGATCTATAACTTTTCCCTTTCCTTTAGAAACCACAATGTAGAAGCCCAGTTCATAGCCCACTGCTCTGTTCTACCCAACCAGTTAGTTTGACCTCCTGCACTGGGAATTTTTAAAAAGTAGTGTGTTCTATTATGATTATAACAATGAACATACACACTAGCTGTGAACAGGGTTTCCTTTTCTCCATGTCCTTGCCAATATTTGTTATCTTTTTTGTTGTCTTTTTGATAAAATCCATCTTAAAGGTATAAGTGATACTTAATAGTGGTTTTGATCTGTAGATCCTAGAGGACTAGTGATGTTGAATATTGTTTCATGTGTGTTAGCCATATACTCAAGGACAGAAAATTTCAGTTAGAAAAGGGAAATAAACTTATCTATTATACTGCATGTGACTACAATTAATAATAATGTGTTATATAATTGAAAATTGCTAGTAGAATAGGTTTTAAGTATTCTCACCATAAAAAATAAGTAAAGGATACATTAATTTGATTTATACATTTTTTATTGTTTGCATATACTAAGACATGTTGCATGTCGTAAATATATAAACTTTTTAAAGGTACATTTTAAAAATGATGCCAGGCACTGGTGGCTCATGCATCTAATCCTGCCTACTCAGGAGGCTGTGATCTGAGGATCCAAACTGGGAAGGACCATCGCTGAGACTCTATATCTTCAATTACCCACCAAAAAGCTGGAAGTAGAGTTGTGGCTCAAGTGATAGATTGCTAGCCTTCAGCACAAAAAGTCAGGGACAGTGCCCAAGCCCTGAGTTCAAGCCCCAGGACTGGCAGAAAAAAAGATTTTTTAATGGTGTAAACAGCAGGCATGTTGCTGCTTAGAAATGAGTAGCTCAGAGCCAAATGTTGTGTTTCTCAACTGATTCACTTCATTGCCCCCTCTTCCTGCAAGAGTTGGCATCAGTAGGTCTTGCTTGATTATACAAACTACTTGCTCTCACTATCTAAATGTTGCCTCTCTAAAAAACAAGAGAATGGGACTAATGTGTCTACCTTGAAGGTCCTTCCCAATTCTAAAATATTGTACGTCTATGTTCTAACACTGGGCTATGCTCTTGGGTCTACCAGACTAATGGTTCAGGTCAGCACAGTCATCTATCCTCAGACATGCAAACCAGAAAGTCTATGACTATAACATGGCTACTTCTGTTCAGATACTGGTACTCACAAAGCATACTCCATCAACACCAGGCCAGAGGAAGGCATAAGGGGAGGAAAAATCTGAATTCTAGTAAATGAACAGATTTCTACTTTTGTGAAGATTAATTAAAAATTCCTTAAAGCTGGGCGCTGGTGGCTCACACCTATAATCCTAGCTACTGAGAAGGCTGAGATCTGAGGATCACAGTTCAAATCCAGCCCAGGCAGAAATGTCTGTGAGACTCTTATCTCCAATTAACCACTAGAAAACTGGAAGTGGCGCTGTGGCTCAAGCGGTAGAGCACTCACCTTGAGCTGAAGAGCGCAGGGATAGCGCCCGAGGTCAGAGTTCAAGCCCACAACCGACAAAAAAAAAAAAAAAATCCCTTCAAGTGTTAGTGAAACATATTCTAAAGCATGTAAGAAAAGATTAACCTAAGTGAATTTTCTGTCCAAGGGAGAAGCAAAGATGGTGAAAGATGGAAAGGTCTTCAGAGTGGTCCAAGAGAACTGCTGGAATCCAGAAGTTCGTATTAGAGAAATGGATCAAAAAGGTACTTAAAATGAGGAAGGTTATCAATATTTGCCTTTACTGAATAAGCAATATCTGCCCTTAAAGGCTATTGACTATTTGGAGTGAGTTACCTGATGACAACTTACCTTTGCAAGCCAGCTGCTCTGACTTCACTAGGGAAGAACCTTTATTACAGTGCCCTAAGAGTATAGATTTATTTTTATTTATTTATTTATTTTGTCCGTCATGGGGGCTGAACTCTGGGCCTGGACGCTGTCCTCCAGCTCTTCAGCTCAACGCAAGTGCTCTACACTTGAACCACAGCACCACTTTTGGTTTTTCTGGTGGTTTATTTGAGATAAGAGCCTAACGGTCTTTCCTGCCCAGGTTGACTTTTAATTGTGATCCTCAGATCTCAGCCTCCTGAGTAGCTAGGCTTACAGGCATAAGCCATGGTGCCAGGCTTGATTTAAAATATTTTAAGATCAGTTATACCTGTTTAAAAATAGAATGCTATATCACCAAAAAGATAATGGCATTTTATTATTTTAAGGATTTTTTTAGTTCAAGTTCATAGTATTTTCTTATTATCGAATCAATTAAAACAATAAAATTAGAACTGATAGATTAAGGATGTCAGTTATCTGCCTGCTTAGCTAGACTTTGGATCCATTTCTTTCTGTAGTTTATCTCAGGGCACCATATACAGAACATCGTCATTGACACACATTAGTAGTGGGAAAGAAGAAAACAGTTTGTTAAGAAGTTAATCGTGTATCTCAGAAATGCTTATGATAAAAACAATTCCAAAATTTGAACTAAAACCAAATAATTCATTCACACATACAAAACAGCAGATTATAACTACCTACCACCTTTCTAATCAATGATAATTTTTGTGCATGTACCAGTACTGGAGCTTGAACTAAGGGCTTAGGCACTGTCCCTTAGCTCTTTCACTCAAAGCTGGTGTTCTACCACTTGAGCTCTAGTTCTGGCTTTTGCTTAATTGGAGTCTCAAGAACTTTCCTGACCAGGCTAGCTTCAAACCACCATCCCCAGATCTCAGCTTTCTGAGTAGCTAGGATTAAATACGTGAGCCACCAGCACCTTCTTTAAAAACAATTTTATAAGTTCAGTTATATATCTAAGAGATAGCAGGAGACTTCATTTAATTCCAAGGTCTTCAAAAAGGCATCAACTTGGCAGGCCCAAAATGAGTAGGTGTGCAATAAAAATTTGGTGTCAGATATCTCTGTCCAAATATTGAGTGTGCTTGCCCTCTCTCTCTCTGATTAACTGCTTTTTGCAGTACCAGGTTGAAGTCATTCATACTTGCCAGGCAGATAATCTGCATTTGGTCATGCCTCCAGCACTTTCTATTCTGGCTTTTTTTTTTTTTTTTGGTCAGTCGTGGGGCCTGAACTCTGGGCCTGGGCGCTGTCCCACAGCTCTTCAGTTCAATGCTAGCGCTCTACCACTTGAGCCACAGTGCCACTTCCAGCTTTTTCTGCTTATGTGGTGCTGAGGAATTGAACCCAGGGCCTCATGCATGCAAGGCAAGCACTCTACCACTGAGCCACCTTCCCAGCCTTCTGGCTATTTTTGACAAGAGGTCTTGAAGGATCTGGACCACGATCTTCTTATTCATACTTTCTCCTGTAGCTGAGATGACAGGCATGTGCCACCACATTCCAGTTTTTCTATCGAAAGAGAGGTCTAAAGAACATTTTTGCCTGGAGATGGGCCTAAAACTGCAATCCTGAGCACAGCCTCCCTTATAGCTAGGATGACAGTTGTGAACCATCACATCCAGCTATTAGTTGAGATGGGGTATCTCAGGAACTTTTTGCCCAGAGTGGCCTCAAACTGAGATCCTCACAATCAATCTCTGCCTCTCTAGTAATTAGGATTATTATAGGCATGAGAAACTGTCATATGGCAGCTTTATATATTTTTACCAATTAAAAAACACATTTAAGTTACAATCAAGGGGAACTCTTCAGAAGACCTGAATCACTCAGTGGACCATTCCACAAAAACATAGTACATGCACCCATATTCTAAGAGTATTATGAGATGGGAGGGGTGCTGAGAACATGCTTCCTACATCTACAATAAAGAGGTTTTGACAGCAAGGATCCATCCTCTCAAGGAGAAAACTAGTGGGAAAGGGTCTTGGCTGGCTGATGTTGACATAAAGTCATCAAGTCTTTCCTTTTGCTTTTGTTGTGTGCTTCATTCCATGGCTGTTTGCAAGTGAGCTACTAATCTTTATTGAGCATTTGGTTTATGCACAGTTCTATTCACCTAACGTGTATTAACCCAGGTAATCCCTACAGCAACTTCAGAAGGTATTCCCTTGAAGACAAGAGATATTTTTGACTTCTTGGATTCTGGCTTTTAGAACCAAACTCAAGATCACATTCTGACTATTCTAGACCTTGAGGCTTCATCCAGGTTGACATAGGAGATGAATTAATTAGTGGGAGCTAAGATAAAACTTTGTCATGCAGCCAGGCACCAGTGGCTCATGCCTGTAATCCTAGCTACTGAGGAGGCTGAAATCTGAGGATCACAGTTCAGGCAGGAAAGTCTGTGAAACTCTTATCTCCAATAAACCTCCAGAAAACTGGAAGTGGCACTCTGGCTCAAGCGGTAGAGTGCTGGCCTTGAGCTGAATAGCGCAGGGACAGTGCCCAGGCCCAGAGTTCAAGCCCCACGACCGACAAAAAAAAAAAAAGAAAGAAAGAAAACTTAGTCATACATGACCTAAGATAGAAAGCCCTGAAAAAAAATCATGGAAAAATGTCTCACTTAAAGAAAATTTCACAGAAAGGAAGGGTAGACCCTTGGAAAATGGAGTCAACTCATTGTTTTTGTTGTTTTGTTTTGGATGGTTTGTTTGGGATTTGACCTCAAGGTCTGTGCTTGGTTAGGTAAGTGCTGTTATTACTTTAGCCACATTTCCCATCCCTTTTTGCTTTTGCTTTTGTTACTTCCCAAATAGGATCTCATGATTTTATTCAGGCTGGCCTTGACTGTGATCCTCCAAATTTCCAGCTCAAAACCAGCTAGGATCACAGACATGAGTCATTGCACACAGCATTTGTTTTTCTCATCTCTGCCCAGATTTTACCTCTTTCCAAAGAACCTGAGGCTGTCAGATGAGGGAGGCATGGGAGAGAGCCTGTGGGAGGGGGTATAGGGAGGAGGAGGAGCGGGGAGGGCAGAAAGAAGATACAGTGGAGATTTGCTGGCTTCTTGCCCTGGGGAAGACAGGAATACTTGGGCTATTCTTCTTATAGCTTTGCCTTTTTTTTTTATATACCTAGGAGTAACCGTGCAAGCTCTTTCTACGGTTCCCATCATGTTTAGCTACTGGGTGAGTGTGAAACCTCAAACCATTTCCTTGGTGCTAAAGACTCATGTCACCAAATCATCAAAAAGTAGGCGAGTCTTGACATTGGTTCCACCTACACCCCCTCTTCCTTTCAAATAGCACCAGCATCCTCTCCCAGGTTGTCTTAGTCATGTCCTTACACTAGTACAATAGCTAATATGTCTCTATTGAACATGCATTATAGTTCTAATGGGCAGTGCCGTTTTGGCCCCACCTTTAGCCTCACCAGAACTTACCTATCTGACCACTCATTCCTTCAATGTCTTGCTGAGGAACTGACAAGCCAACTTGTTCTGAAGTGAGGATAATTTTGAAAAGGGATAATAATGGCCTAATATGTTACCTCTTCCAAAGAAATAAGGAATTCAAGGGAGGAGTTCTGAACACCCTCTCTACAAATGACTAAATCTCAAGCAGTGAAAGTGCTTTCAGGCATGAATTTGAGCCAGTAGAGGGAAATTCTTGCACAGAGCTGAGGGAGTGCTAAGTAGCTGCCCAACCTAGCAGTCTCTTCTGTCCTGGTTTAAGAAGCAATGAAAATACCCCCTATGCACTTCTCCCACCAGCCCTTCTCTGTCACTGAGAGTCACTACTTAAGACAAAATGTCTTTAAGATGGTAGTATGCCTGAACTTAAAAAATTGGATATAACTCTGAACGGACCACCAGGATTGCAGGAGAGCACCAGATTCCTTGAAGTGAGTGTTGCTGAAAGGAGAAGTAGCCATGAAGGGGAGCTAAAAGCAAATTTAATTTGCCTCAAAGGCCAGCCCTCAGTGTTACAGCCAAAGGAAGGATGGAGAAGATAGACAGGGACAGGATAGTTCTATGACCAGGTCTCTCATCCCTTGGGGAGGGAAGGAGACTTAATTGTGGCTTCATGTACTGGGCAAGACCTAGTTGGGAAGGCCTTCAAGATCCATTTGCTCCTGCTGGTGGCCTCTCCTCACTCCATCTCTCAGATGGAATGACCCAGTAATTAGGATGTCAGGTCTAATAATTCTGGCTTTAATTTTTCTGACCAGAAGTATATTGGCAGTTTGATTATACAGACGTTGGGTCTTCTGGGGCCAGATACCATGCTTCAGTTTCTTGAGAAGTAAAGTTATTGAGCAGAATATTTCAGCCAAGAAGAGATATTGTTCAGAGTGAATGTCTAAAGAACTAGATTTTAATGATGTGGATTTTACCCCCTGCCCTGTTTCACCAGGCCAAACCTCAGGACACTTTGGACCTATGTCAGCTTTTAAACAATGACCTAGCTGCCACTGTAGCGAGCCACCCTCGGAGGTTTGTGGGTCTAGGGACATTGCCTATGCAAGCACCTGAGCTGGCAGTCAAGGAGATGGAGCGTTGTGTAAAGGAGCTGGGATTTCCAGGGGTCCAGATTGGCTCCCACATCAACACCTGGGACCTGAATGAACAAGAACTCTTCCCTGTCTATGCAGTGAGTACACCACTGTGGCTCAGCCAACATGTAGCCATAGAAAACATAGTCTACCCAGCAATAGTGTAGGTGCTGGTGAGAAGATGAAGGTACCATCCCTCTGAGTAGGTAGATAAAAGTACTGATTGCACCCATGGTACCATGGCCTGTAATTCTAGCTACGCAGGAGGCTGAAATCTGAGGGTCATGGTCCAAAGCCAGCCTGGGCAGGAATCTCCATAATACTTTTATATTCAATAAACTATTAAAAACAGCCTGAAATGGCACTGTGGCTCAAGTGGTAGAGCACTTACCTTGAGCAAAATAAGCGCAGAGATAGCACCCAGGCCCAAGGACCAGCAAAAAACAAACAAACAAAAGCAAAAATATATATATATATACATTGCTTTAGATGCAGGTAAGAAGAAATCTCCTACCAAAACTCCCCTGAAAAAGGAAGGGGCCATTACCTCAATGAGGGGTGTCAGAAGTGTGTCCTAGGCCAGCCCTGAGTTAACTCAGAGATAAAATAGCTCTTCTATCACAGTTGCTTTACTATGGTTTTGTTTTTCTCTTTTTGTGCCAGTCCTGGGGCGTGAACTCGGGGCCCAGGAGCTGTCCCTTAGCTTTTTGGCTAAAGGCTATCCTTGAGCCACAGCTCTACTTCCAGCTTTTTGGTGGTTAATTGGAGAAAAGAGTCCCATGGGCTCTCCTGTCCAGTCTGGCTTTGAACTGTGATCCTCTGATCTTAGCCTCCTGAGTTGCTAGGATTACAGGCTTGAACCACTTGTTCCCTGCTCACAGTTGCTTCCTTTTAATCTTATTTGAAAGCCTAAATGTCACTTTCATCACTGCCATTGTGCATAAGAACCATGTTAATGACATTAAAAGATATTTTTATTTGGAAAAATACTTAAATGTTTTCAAAACTATAAAATAATTTTGAAGAAACTGTGGAAAGTTACAGGGAAGTATAAAGAGAAAATCATCACCCTGCTACCCAAAGGTAAGTGAACACTATTATAATTCATGTCATTAAAAAGATTGCATATATTTGTATTTTAACAAAATTGTGATTTTGTTACATGTGATTTCTTACCCTAATTGACAATTTCCAAATTAAAGGAAAATTATCTTAGTGCATGGTTTTTAAATAATTGAAGAATATTCTATTGCATAGACACATTTTGACTTATTGAACCAATTCTCTATTAAGAAACTTTTAGAGGGGCTGGGAAGTTGGCTCAGTGGTAGAGTGCTTGCCTTGCATGCCTGAGGCCCTGGGTTCAATTCCTCAGCACCACATAAGCAGAAAGAAAAAATCTGGAAGTGGTGCTGTGGCTCAAGTGGTAGAGCGCTAGCCTTGAGCTGAAGAGCTGAGGGACAGCGCTCAGGCCCAGAGTTCAGGCCCCATGACTGGACCCAAAAAAAAGAAAAAAGAAACTTTTACAGCCACATAATTTGAAAATGTATAATAAAAATACATAATTTACAGTAATATAAGATGTTTACATCTGATGAAACTAGATGGTTGAGATATGGATGTTTGTTGATCTAATGTTCATACTTTCTATACCTAAAATATTTCATAATAAAATATATACTCCAATATTTAGTGCCATCCCTTTCTAAGTACCCTTCTTCAATTCAAGAATTCATCATTTCACATTCTTCTCCACCAGTCTTCCTCTTTCTTTCAGTTCTTTCTATAACATAAACTACTATCCTTGGTAGCAGGATTTAAAATATATAGTTCTTTATCCAAGTTTTTTAAATTTCTCACTTCTTTTCTAGAATTATAATGATATGAAATTGTTTTCTACAATTTTCATTGTAAATGTAAAATCTTCAATAACAAATTAAATATCTGTCTGTGGACTCACTACAGACTTTACTCACTGTCACTTATTCACTTAATATTTATTGAGCTCTAATTACATGTAAAAAAGTGTTTTCCATGTTGGTATCTATGGCAACTGCCCATCAATTGGGGGTTAAATTGCCTCCTAATGACCTGAAAGATTTAATGGTTCCTCTAAATATTGAACTCCCTAAAGCTTATTAGCTACAGTAGCTTAGCTGATGAAGCCAATGTTTGCTAGAAACTTTAATGAGTTTTGAAAAAAGATTTATTTACTTGTGCATTCAAGTTGTTGCAGCACAGTATGAGTGAGACTTCAGCTGCAAGTCATTTTATTATTCATTAGAATTAGATTTGTGAATTACTAAAGTGCTTAGAAAGCAGCAGCATCTAGTTGTGGTTCACATAGATGTTTTCATTTGTGGGACTAGCTCAATCCATCAGTCATTTTTATTAGATTGTTTGTTGGGCTGCCAGTCTCTGCAGGATTCAGAAGCACATCCTGTCCCCAGTTCACTCATGATGTCCAGAGGTTGACAGAACATTTGTTTAGTTAGCAGGGCTTACCTGCCTCACTGCTCTCTAGCTTGCGTCAGTAAGGTGCTCAAACAAATAGGATTTCTCAGAGCCAAAGTTGTCTTTGTTAATTCAAGGTAGGCCTGGTACTGAAGAGCATCTAAATGTCACCCTTATCTCCTACACCTTATCTTCCACACCTCTCTTCTTAGTAAGTAATCCTAATTTACACACTTAGGTCAATATTCAGGTACCAAAAAAAACCTCCAACTTTAATACAAGTATGTAGTAGACAGAACACTACTAATGCCTGACTGTCTGGCTCCACTAGCTCTACTGTGTGTCAGCCATAGGTTCTATCTGCCTCAATTCCCTTTCCATAAAACAAGAGGAATAGGAGTAACTCCTTTAATAAAAATAAATAAACCAGTAATATTTATAAATTTACTATAGCAGTTTCAGCGTTTGTTCCTAGTGAATGTTAGTTATGATTTTAAGGTTATGAGTGACTTTGTATTCTCTATAATACCTCACATATAAGAGGTGTTTTGTTGCTGTTATTTCTGTTTTGTCGGTTGTGGGGCTTGCACTCTGGGCCTGGGTGCTATCCCTCAGCTCTTCAGCTCAAGGCAAGTGCTCTACCACTTGAGCCACAGTGCCACTTTTGGTTTACAGATGGTCAATTGGAGATAAGTGTCTCATGGAATTTCCTGACCAGGCTGGCTTTGAATCACAGTCCTCAGATCTCAGCATCCTGAGAGGCTAGGATTACAGGCGTGAGCCACCAGAACCTGGCAAGAGGTGTTTTTTGTTAATTTGAACTGAATAGAAATGATACATCATAGACATATAAAGTTTTATAATAATTAGGAGTCAACTGAAATAATATAATTATGTATCTTTGCCAAGCAATCCCAAGAAGTCAGTATTCTCTTTCCAACTTGCATATATGTGTGTGTGCATATATATATATATATATATATATATATATATATATATATCGTAATCTCACTTCAAAAGGTTCTCCTTCTCAGAACTTGTTGATTTAGAAATCTTCAACTTACCCTTGCTTACCATTTCCAGAATCCTTAGTATCCAAAATTGTTTTTCCATTAAAAAAATGCTTAGGTAAACAGAGGATATTGCATCAACCTGGTTAACACAAATATTTATGTGTGGAGGTAGGATAAATCACTCTAGTATCCCAATATATGTGGAAAGAACATGTTCTGAGGAAAATCTATTCTGAACATTTAAGTACTAATATTCAATGGTTGTTGATGGTACTTATCTTAATTAGACATTGTATTGAATAAGGTTCATTCCATCTAGATGGTATTTCCCTTTCCCAAAATGCCCTGAGGCACACTTGCTCATGACATTCATCTTAGTGCCTTCCAGACATGGAGAAGTCTTTCCTTTTAAGGTCACCTCATTCATACAAACTATTTAGAGCATAGGCTTGAGGAGCTGCAAGAGTGTCTACAGACTCAAGAATTTCATCTAGCATTGGGCTCATGAGTCAAGCCTGATCCATACCTCAGATCAGGCGCAACCTGGCCTGGCCTACCCCACTTTCTACAGCCTCAAGTTTCAAAATAAGAAAAAGAAAGGAGCACTCTTTCCCTGATTTCAAAGATGTCACCTCAACCATCCTTCTAAAAGAGTGGACCAGCAGGGAAATTTCCCTTACATTTGAGGTGTGGGGTTAGTTCTTGAGCATTTTGACCTTGCTCAAAATGTTTGAGTGATAGATGTTTCCTGTTTTGCCAAACAATTATTAAATTCATCAACTTCAATAGTAAATTCATCGATCCCTTGTGTTAATTTTGAGTCCTTTTTACTTTCCAAGCAAGAAAAAGAGCTTATCAATGATTTTCTTATATAGACCAAGAAACAACTTCAAAAGCATTTTAGTTTATTTAGATCAATAGAGACTCGGAAAAAAGCAGTTTCCTTAAAACAGTACCTTGCATTTGCTGGCTCATCAAAATAACCTTTTCTCTCTCATTGCTTCTTTGAAGGCAGCTGAAAGGTTGAACTGTTCCCTGTTTGTGCATCCCTGGGACATGCAGATGGATGGACGAATGGCCAAATACTGGCTCCCTTGGCTTGTAGGTTTGTGTTATTCCGAGGTCTGAAACAAAGGACCAGTTCTTGGGTTTTTCTAATCATCATTGGAGCCCCTATAATATCAAGGAGAGAAAATGTGAAAAATTAGCAGCAATTATTATTTACTGCTCTCAGATAAGTGCTGTATATACTACCTCTTTTGGTTTTAATATCATATCTAATATGATCAGAAATAAATCACATCATTAATATATCACATATTGAATCTATGAGTATGATTATTTTATAGATAGAGAACCTGAGTCTTGAAGTGGTAGGTAAACTGTTCAATTTCAATAGTTAGAATGCCAAAAAGGGAAATTACTCAAATTTGCCTGATTCCAAAGACACTTCCCAACACCACCCAAGAAGCTCCAAAAGAATAACCTTACTTTCACAGTAAATGTTTTCAGAAGATGACAATAGCTATTCTAAATGAAAATACTGGAATTACAAGTAGAAAGTACACCTTTACTATCCAAGCTCCTGAAACCTTAGATTGTAGATAATTGAGGCTTTCGATATTTTGTTATCTGCTCCTATTGCCCTTTGCCTTTTACACTATTTACTCATGTTTCTACATGAGAGTGAAAGTTTCTTCTCTTCAAGAGAAAGTTCCATTCAGCCTATCAAATTTCTCATTGTTAATCCCAAGAATAGATTTAAAATTCTGGAGTTACAAGAAAAAAAGAAAAAAATACAGCTCATCCAAAAACCCACTGAAAAATCAATACCTAAATGAAAAGTGTTTAACTTTCTTTAGGGAGACTGCAACTTGTTCTCTACCTAGCCCATCAGTATAATTAGTAGTCAAAATGTCATAAAGAATTAAATTCAACAACATACCATATTAGAACTCAAAATTAGAATTTCAGTTTGAGTTTAGCCTCTATTTTACTGTATAATCTGTAGCAAATCATTTCCTCCTTGGGCTCTAGGTCATAATCCATAAAATGAGAGAGCTGTTCTGGGCTCCTTCAAAGATTTATTTCTGCTCTCATATTTTATATGCCCCATGATTTCTAGTGGAGACCAAAGTATTTAATAAAGCAACTCCCTACCCATCCCCCACCAAGAACTTTCTACTGTTACTTATAAACACTGTACTGACCAGCCTCCAGGATAATGTCTTTCTGATGTACAAACTTTGATAACTTACACAAACTTATTCATATTGCAACTTTTGACATGAAAATTAGTATTCGCATGTAGAGTCATTTTCTGATTCATTTATGAAATGCACTTATATAATTCCCTTCTAATATGACAGGTCCTGTCCTAAACACTTAGGATATAGACACAAACTTATTTCCCCTTAGAGCTTATATTCTAGTTAAAGGAAAGAAATGATAATGGAGTGTACAGATCAAAAGAAAAAAATGGACCAATTTCATAATTTGTGAGGGGAGATTCTAGGGCTTGAACTTAGGACCTGGAAGCTGCCCCTGAGCTTTTTAGCTCAAGGCTAGCACTCTACCACTTGAGCCATAGCACCATTTCTGTTTTTTGTTTTTTGGGGTTTTTTTTGTCAGTTGTGGGGCTTGAACTCTGGGCCTGGGTGTCGTCTCTCAGCTCTTCAGCTCAAGGCAAGAGCTCTACCTCTGAGCCACAGCGTCACTTCTGGAGATAAGAGTCTCACAGACTTTTCTGCCCAGGCTGGCTTTGAATCGCAATCCTCAGATTTCAGCCTCCTGAGTAGCTAGGATTACAGGCATGAGCCACCAATGCCTGACTAGCTTCTTGGTTGTTAATTGGAGAGAAGAGTCTTACAGACTTTCTTGTCCTAGGCTGTTTCAAAATATGATCCTCAGATCTGAGCCTCCTAAGATTACAGGTGTGAGCCACAGGTGCCTGGCTCAATTTCATAATTTTATTGTGAATGCAAAGAAAAAATTCCCAATAGGAGGATCCACCATACAATTCACATTGTAAATGTAAATTTGCTTCATGCATTTGTGTCTATGGTACAAAGTAATTGATGGAAATTAGAATCACAGAAAAGAAGGAAGTAGTACTGTCTCCTGCCTTCAAAAAACTGCCAGCAATCTTCTCTTTTCTAGCTATTTTCTCTCTTTTCTAGCTCTCTCTTAGCTCTTTTCCCCAGCTCTCTCTTTCCCAGGCCTTTCCCCACTGCGTGGAGGACCAAGATGGCCTAGTGCCAGTCTGAACGATGAATAAACCTACCCCTTACCTGAATACCACCTGCGTGGTGCAGTTCTTACTCAGTTACCTCTTTTTAAAAACCTAACATAAATGGTGCCGAAACTCGGATAAAGGGCTTAAAGTCAGGATAGATGGGATTCCTCTCTGTTTTTTTTTTCCTCTTTTTTTCTTTTTTTGTACTTTCCCTATCTCTACCTTTCTCTTTTCTACATTTTGGCTTGTGCCCCGAAGAGTGCGACGAAGGCTGGATCCCGGGGCCTAGGCCCAGACGCCCTCTCTCTGCTTTCTCTGCTCTTTTCTTTTTTTTTTTTTTAAGAAAACTCACTGAAAGCTTTTATTTTTATTTTTTTGCCCATCCTGGGGCTTGAACTCAGGGCCCGGACTCTGTCCCTGAGCCTCTCTGTGCTCAGGGCTAGTGCTCTACTGCCTGAGCCACAGCACCACTTCCAGCTTTTTTTATGTGGTTCTGAGGAACTGAACCCAGGGCTTCATGAATGCTAAGCAAGCACTCTACCACTAAGCCACCTTCCCAGCCCTCTCTGCTCTTTTCTAGCTCTTCTCTTTTCTAGCTATTTTCTCTCTTTTCTAGCTCTCTCCTAGCTCTTTTCCCCAGCTCTCTCTTTCCCAGGCCTTCCCCCACTGCGTGGAGGACCAAGATGGCCTGGTGCCAGCCTGAACGATGAATAAACCTACCCCTTACCTGAATAAACAAAACAAAACAAAAACTATCAGCAATCCAATCTCAGATAGATATGAATTCATCCTATTTCCACAATTCCCAGGAAGCTGGTAATCTAGGGACATCTTTGCACACACAGCAGTGATATGCAAAGCACGTCAAATGAAATCAGAGTTGGAAGCTTAGAGAATCCGTTTCTTCTACAGGTACAGGACACAGATGAGGAACAGAATTTCAGGATCTAAAGGAGCAGTCATGGAGATCAGACTGGTTCCTTAGGCATCAGACTAGAATCAGTTGTTTCTCCTAGAAGCACAAACACTTGTAGTAATTCACATTGATGCAGTGTTTTTTCAACCTTAGCTCTAAGAGGCAGCAAAGAATTGGCATGAATAATAATAAAGTAGTTAATATTTAGTAGTTAGTATTTAGTGAGCAAAAACTAAGTGCTAAATCCTCAAAATAATCCACTGGGAGGAATTAATAATTATTATCCTCAGTTTACAGATGAGGAAATTAAATCAGAGGCAACTAATATTTGTTGAGTGCCTCCAATGGGAAGTCCTAATCAGAAACTTTGCTGACATCATTATTTGCACAACTTCACAAAAGCTTCCCAGGATAGGAAACACTGTCATCTTACAGATGGAGAAGCACAGACTCATGAACATTAAATAACTTCTAGCAGACCAAGAGGCAGAAAATTGCAAGTGTTAGCATTTAGCATATATTTCCTATACTCTGCCCTAAAAATGAGGTCAGAAAAATAAGGATTAAAAACTAGGTCCTCAGGTTTCTCAACTGTCCTAGCCATTAGACAGTTCTCCCTACAGAAGGCAAATAAGAAGCTTCAAAGGATTCTCTTTGTCAAAGTATGGCCTATGCATACTTTGTACAGCTACACCATACTATAGTGGCCCCATGTTTCTTGGCACTTGACAATTCCTCAGCCATAGCTGCCATTCTCCAAGCCTTCTTACAAAAACCTTGTGACTATTTTCTCTTCCAGGAATGCCAGCAGAAACGACCATGGCCATTTGCTCCATGATCATGGGTGGAGTGTTTGAGAAGTTTCCAAAACTGAAAGTGTGCTTTGCACATGGAGGTAAGACTCTATATGTACTAGTTCAGGCTTCCATACCAAATGCCAAAAACCAGGTAGTTCAAACAACTCACATGTATTTTGGAAAAAAGTCCAAGATCAAGGTGTTGGCAAGATTGATTTAAAATAAAGTTTTCTTCCTAGTTCATAAAAGGTCACTGGATCCTCACCTGGCCCTTCCTCTATGCATGGAGGGGTGACAGAAAAATGGAAGACAGATAAAAGAAACAGAGAGTTCTGCATCTCTTCCTCTTCCTCATAAGGACATCCGTCTTGGAGAGCCTTGCCTTTCTTAAATACCCTATGTCCATATATAGTTACATTAGAGGTTAGGGCCTCTACATCTGAGTTCTAGAAAGATTCAGTTCAGTCTGCAACATCTTTCCAACTATTATTCTAGTCATGTAATAGTTTGGGGGTCAAATTCTATTTTTTGTAAGCAAGTTTAGTTTGGTTGTCATAGTTTTTTTTGCTTTATTTTTATTTAAATATCTCTAGTCAACATATAGGCTCAGTAGTCCCTGTTATTCTGAATTGTTTAAAATAGGCCTATATCATTCCTTTACATTGCTTGCCTAGTCTCTATATGTAATTGAAATGTTTTGCTGCACATATTAAATACATAATATCAAATTGTATATGTTGCTCTCTAATTTACTTTTCCCTCTTGATGCATAGTCATCTTTCCATGTCAAGAAATACAGCGCTCAATTAGTTTATGGCTTCATATGTTTTATGAATATGTCATCATGATTTATGCTCACTAATGGGTGGTATTACTACTGTGATATGATAATCACACTACAAAATACTGACCATAGTCAGGCTCTGTTGGCTCATACCTGAAATCCTAGCTGTTCAGGAGGCTAAGATCTGAGGATTACAGTTTGAGGCCAGCCTGAGAATGAAAATCTCCAATTAACTATCAAAAATTAACTACCACAGTTCCAGAAGTGGAACTGTGACTCTAATGGTAGAGCAGTGGCCTTGAGCAAAGAAAAGTTTAGGATAGCACCCGGGCCCTGAGTTCAAGCCCCAGACCCCACATACATACACACATAAAATGTTGACCAAATATCATTGCATATTGTCTTTTCCCTTTAAGATACCAATCTCAAATCTGATGCTCTAGATGAGTTCATGTCATTTCTTCTGGGTCACTACAGCATGTAGAATCAAGCAGGTCCTTTGTAAATATTGTTAGCCCGAGGGATAACTTCTTGTATACAAACATCAGAACGGAAAAGAATCTCTTTTTTTGAGATAGGGTTGTGCCATGTAACTGAAGATGACCTAGAATACTTTGTATGGCCTCAAACATATGATCCTCCTACCCCAGACTCCCAAGTGCTAGAATTACATGTGTGCATCATCATGCAAAAGAGATCCTTTATAAGCAACACTTGCACTTCAGTAATTAGTTTTACTTTCAGGTGGTGCTTTCCCTTTCACAATGGGAAGAATCTCCCATGGATTCAATATGCGCCCAGATCTATGTGCCCAGGACAATCCAAATGACCCAAAGAAATACCTTGGTTCCTTTTACACAGACTCCTTGGTTCACGATCATCGGTCTCTTAAGCTGTTAACAGATGTCATAGGAAAGGTAAGCAGGTTCTGCTATTGGGTGGCTATAGGCTACAGAATGCTGGATCAGTAGCCAGTTACTTGACAAGCTAAACAATTGTTAGAGGAAATTAGCAATAAAAAGTTTGAAATAATGGTATCCAAAGAGAATTGATTCCAGGACTCTGAAAGATACCTAAATCCTAAGGTGTTCAAGTACCTTATATTATGTGGCATAGTATTTGCAGATAGCCTACACACATCCTCCTATATATTTTAAATCATCCATAGATGACTTATAATACTTATTAAAATGTAAATGCAAGTAAATAGTTATTATATCATATTGCTTAGGAGATAATCATAAGGAAAAACAGTTGTACATGTTCAGTGTAGAAGTATTTTTTTCCCAAGTATTTTCAATCCATAATTGGTTGAATCCAAGAGTTTGGGACCCAATGGCCAAATTTTTCTCATCTCCAGTTTATTACTTATACTATGTGTGTATGTGTGTGCACATGTGTGTATGTGTGTGTGTTCCTGGGGATTGAACCCAGTGTTCCACACATGTTAAGTGCTTTACCACCTGAGCCATGTACTCAGTCCTCCATTCTATTATTTTAAGTATAGAAGGTTCCCAAATTTTCCTAGGGAAACATCTTTGAGATTTTTCTAAAAGTGTGTGTGTGTGTGTGTGTGTGTGTGTGTGTGTGTGTGTGTGTGTATTTAAAGGTTTAAGGGACTTGAAATGAGATTAGATACTAAGATTTTTTAGAATTTTGTTCAAAAGAGGTCCATCATTTGTAAGATGCAAATATGTTTGCAACTGTAGAATACTTTGACACTGTTCCTTTAATTAAAGAAAATCACTAGAGTATAAATGTTAAATATTCTAATTTGGCAATAAAATTATAGTTTCCCCCTTAGCCAAAGGAGATGTATTACAAGAACCCCAGTAGATGTCTAAAGACATAAGCAGTACCAAACCATATAATACAAGCATGGAAATAACTGTGATGGTCAATCTAAAAACCAGGATAACTGCTAAATGATTAATGGAGAGGTAGCAATTACAGCATGGATATCCAAGGCAAAGGGATGATTTACCTCAGGATGGATGAAGCCTGGCAGTGCAAGACTTTATCAAGATCAGAATGGCTCATAATTTAAAACCTATGAAAGATTTATTTCTGGCACTTTCTATTTAATATTTTTAGACTGTTATTAACTTAGGATAATTGAAGCCAGGGAAAGCAAGCCCCCAGTAAGAGCTACTACTGTGTGTGGCTGAACTATAACTTCTAGTTATCTAATTTTTGTGTGACCTTAGCTTCTGTAGAAATGGGTGGTTAGCAGTTGGTTGTGACTATTGATTTTTTTTAATTTGAATGGAGTGTGATAAGGAAGTATGTAACCATGAAACCACAAAGTAGAGAAGTTGGAAGACAGTGAGCTCTGGATTTTCAGTAGAAAGAGAAGATGGAAAGAGGTAGGGAACTAAGTAAAGGATCATTCTCATCACAAGCCCAGTATTCTTGGAAATGGAAACATCATGGAATGTTTGGCATATTCAAAGCCCATCTTCTGAGCAAAACTATCAGCAGTGAAGAATATTGTTAGTACCTTCATACAATACACATTGGCCAAAGAGCCAAAGCAGAAGAGGAGGAACATAAGTGCCTCATAATAACCAGTGGGTAGATTGGTGAGCACAGGTGATTGCATTCTTATATGCCCCTACCCAGGAAAACTCAAAAAGCACTTTACAAAGGTAATTCTACTAAGATCTTTCTTACATTCTTTTTTTGGGGGGGGGCCTGAACTCTGGGCCTGGGTGCTGTCCCTCAGCTCTTCAGCTCAAGGCTAGCACTCTACCACTTGAGCCACAGCGCCACTTCCGGCTTTTTTCTTTTTGCTTATGTGGTGCTGAGGAAACGAACCCAGGGCCTCAGGCATGCAAGGCAAGCGTTCTACCACTGAGCCACCTTCCCAGCCCAAGATCTTTCTTACATTCTAAGTGTGAAATCTTGAACTACAATAATTTGGGCACAAGAATTAAATGTAATCTCCTTTTACATGATTTCACAGGCTAGTGAGTCCAGGATATAGAAGACATACATTAATTATTTAGGATTGTCTGTAAAATATTAATGTTTTCCCTTTCTGGATATATTCACATTAGCAGATTCTCTTTTTGAAAAAAAAATCCCCAAGGACCTAGAAAAAATTGTGTTGGATGAAGTAAGTCATGAAAGATGCATGTTTTCCCTCATATGTGGAAGTTAGATTAAAATATATAAAAGCACATACAAAGCCATATTAAAAAATGAAACATGTGTTGTCCGAGGATTAAGGGGAGGAGGGATAGTGAACAGAGAGAGGAACTATGAGAAAATATAGTCAGAATATAGTCATAATACTCAATGTGCCTATGTGAAAATGAAACTAGCAAATGAGGGGTGGGTGAGGATAGCATAGATGGAGGAGAATGATGAAAGTGGTGACACTGATCAGGATACACTGTACACATAAATCGACATGTTGTATTGAAACTTCTTTGTACACTTATTTCATGCCAATATAATAATAAACGCTTAGATCTCCAAGTCAGAATGGGCAAGGGAAGTTTAGCTGGACATCTGAGTTAGAACATAACCTAGCTAGATTAGGGCAAAAGAACAAGTTGCCTACGGAGGGAAGTCTACATATAGGAAGGACAAAATGGAGCTGATTATTATTGGGTGTACTTGAGAGCAGGTAATAATCACTGTCAGCCATTAATTAGAACCATTGGTGAACTAGGAAACAATTCTAACAAAACAAAGACCTATATGAGGGCAGATAATTATTTTACATTATTTGACTCAGTACCAAATAATATTCATAGTCATAAAAGTGTAAAAACTATATATTGGTTTAACTGAAGATTTTAATTTTATTGGAATTTAGAGAAGTTGAAAGAAAGAAAGAAATTCTCAACAACCATAAATAGATATCAGTAATAATATCCAAAGCTCATAAATCAAGAAACAATAGCATAAGCTTTTTATCTGGGATTATGAAGATAGCTTCCAGTAGAGTCAGTTAAGAAGGCAAAAATGAGAGGTTGCTGATGGATCATGCCTGCAATCCTAGCTACACAGAAGGCTGAGATCAGAGGATCAAGGTTCCAAGTGAACTGAAGCAGGAAAATCCTCAAGATCTGTATCTAACAACTACGAAAATGCCAGATTGGAGCCATAGCTCAAGTGGTAGAGAACCAGCCATGAGCAAGCAAAAAAAAAAAAAAAGCAAAAGTAGCTGTTTTAGGGGATAAGTTAGTTGGAAAGTTTGAGCTGAGGACATAGTTGGTTGATAGAACACCTGCCTAGTAAACATGCATCCCTAAGTTCAAACCTTAGTATTACACACAAAGGGTTGGGAAAATGAGCAAAAGACAATTTTCAATAATATAACATATAGTACTTGAGCAATATTTGATTATCCTATATTTGGTTATCCAATTATTTGTAGGTATTATTTTGGTAAATCTCCATTTTATAAATAAGAATATATATATATATATCCAATCTGTATATATATGGTCATATATGTGCCTGTATATATGCATATATATATGCATATATATATATATTTAAGCCAGTGGCTCATACCTATAATTCTGCTCAGGAGGCTAATATCTGAGGATGGGATTTGAAGCCAGACTAGGAAGGAAAGTCAGTGAGACTCTTATCTCCAATTTAAAAAGCCAGCAGTGGTGTTGTGGCTCAGTTGGCAGAGTGCTAGCCTTGAGCAAAACAGCTCAGGGACAGTACCTAGACCATGAATTCAAGCCCCAGGAACAACAACAACAAAAAAGTTGGGCATACCAAAACACTATGTCAAGGACTTAAATTCCATATCTTAGTTTCCCTCTAACCTTAAAATGATTTACTTTTAATCTATTTATTTTTAAAGACAGGTGAAAAGAATGCTAGTTATATGTTATCCGCCTATTACTATATGGGGAAAAAAAAAAAAAAACATTGCTTTCCTACCTTGCAGCCAAGCTATCCATCAGGACTTATCATGAGAAGGCTTGATGGGGCTGAAGGATTTATTTCCAAGGATTTTTACTTATGACTGGCATATAGGTGCTGGGTTTCTACCAGAGTGGGTCTCTCTACAGCTGGTTATTCCGAGAATGAGAAAATTGAGAGAAAGAGAGAGGCAGAGAGAGTGAGAAAGAGACAGAGAGACAAAGACAGAGAGACAGAGACAGAAACAGACAGCCAGAAAGCCCTCCAGAAGCTAGCCTCTTTATGACCTAAACTTTAAAGTCATAGCATTGCTTTTGCTACATTTTATTCATAGTCACTAAATCTGGCCCACATTCAAGGAAAATGAATTTGTCTCTATCTTTTGAAGGGAAGAATATCAAAGAAAATTTGAAGACTTTTTTTTAAACTACTAAAATTTCCCTCTGATTGCTCAAGATCTATAGCCTTCTTAAATTTAAAACATCTCCTCCACCAAGACTACCCCAAAAGTCTTTTCTATCTACAGCACCACCTTGACGTCTAAGAATCTCATTATCTAAATGAATGTGTGATGAGTTTCTTCATGTACAATTTCTCTCAATCTGAAGAACTAAAAACTAAAGAATTAAGTCCCTTGCCTCATCCCTACACTTAATATAAAATGGTGGCCCCAGCTTAGTATAGTTGCTATAGACTTTCCTATTCCAAAAAGAAACACACACACACACACACACACACACACACACTAGTATAGTTGCTATAGACTTTCCTATTCCAAAAAGAAACACACACACACACACACACCAACCAGAGGTTCAAGTCACTACTCAGGAGCAAATCCTAAGTTCATCAGGCATATATTGACATCTAATTGACTAAAATTCAAAATATGGGAACAAGTCACGTAGGTTTTGGTTCTATCTCTCTGAGCCATCTTTCCTTTTCCATGAATGTTGGCTGAGTAGTTTTTACACACTGCTTCATGCCTGTATAAAGGTGTCTTCTCATTGTATTGTCTGCT